TCACAGCTTGGTAATGCATCCGCCGGGGGATTTTGCCGCCTCAACGGTTTTCTCCTTCTTGCCGTCAGTCGTCAGGAGTTCGTCGTCGCGGGCGCGTTATGATGTGAGTTTGGGGGTTTTGGGGATAGGCGGCAGCCTGTTGTCGCCCCGATCCGAATTAGAAACCGACCCGATATCCTGGACGGCGCCTCTGGATTTCGCCACCACTTTCATCATCGAAGGAGGCTGAATCCGATTGCAGTTCTTCACTTTCTTCTTGTGGGAAGAGGGTTCTCTAGAGGCCATTCTCCTTTCTGTTTTTCTAGCAAGTAGTGAGTGAAGCGAGGAGTTAAGTCAAAGTAAGGGTCTTTCACACCGGGTTTTTATATAGGAACTAGTACGAATCCGGTATGAGATATTAATTAATATTTATAAATTAAAAATTCTTATAAAATAATATTTATAAATTAAAAACATGGAATCAATGTGTAATACTACAATGTACCCATATTAATTTATTAAAAATATTATATAAAATTTAAATTGTGTAAAATTACGTAAAATGTCTATTTAAAATTAGTACACAACTAGCGCGTTGCATATATATGATAATAAATTACATTATATTCGTTTCAAAATATGTGTCATTTTCAAAAGCTTTACTAAGAATTTCGATTTGACTATAACGTGATTCCATACAATAATTATTTTGGCAAAATTTTATCATTTATTTAAAAACCTATGTGAATAATAAAATTTAAATTGTGCAAAATTACGTAAAATGCCTATTTAAATTAGTACGCAACTCGCGCGTTGTATATAACTAATAATAATTACATTATATTCGTTTCAGAATATGTGATTTCAAAAATTTTATTAATAATTTCGATTTGACTATAACGTGGTTCCATAAAATAATTATTTTGATTAAATTTTATCATATATTTAAAAACCTATGTGAATAATAAATATAAATTTTATCTCTGGGATCCTGTTCAATACATAAATGTACTAGTGCAATTAATCAGTCAAGACCAACTGTAGTGTTGACACTACAACCGTTCTGATGGGGTGTTCATTTCCATCTAGGTTGTGAACTATTAGTTCTTCTTTCGCAAGTAATTGATAGAATGATCTTCTGTTCACCCGATGACCCATTCTATCTAAGTGCAAAACAACAGAACATAGAACTTGTTTAATCGAACATGATTCTCATTCATAAAGGGCAAATGTGTAATATCATCCAAAGTCAAGCTTTTTGTATATAACACTAACACCAATCACCAGGGGTCTTTGCTGCAAATCACCTGAGATAGTCATCGTCAATCCTTCCTATATAATCACATTGACAATCTCCCTACAAGTGTCAATCTCGTTGTCAAAAGCCTGACAAAAGCTGTTTGCACCGCCCAAAAACATAACGCATGGCCCAATGTGGAACGTCTCACCGCCTACAGATTAGATTGTTTGGACAGGTGTCCCGCTACATGTTGCGTTGCATGTAACAAATCCATCCGGAGACTACCACGTGTCCAATCAACCTTTGTTCTTTTCGCTATAAAAAGCCATGCTATTTATCACCCAAAACCATCTGAGAAAACACCCGCTAGATACATACATGAACAAAACGTAAAATAGTACAACACTATACTACTCAATTCCCCCCAGAGAAAATAATTATTCTCCTCACTGGTGCCTCAATAGACCGGTGAACTATAATACAACTTCATAATTGGTGCCTCAATAGACCGGTGAACCATAAATTCACTTGATTCCCATGTTATTCCGTAGTTAGCATATTACAACTTCATAATTGTGTTAGCAAAATTGACCATAAAAAAAAAAAAACAAAGAAACAAATTTATAGCAAATCACATGCATTAGCATATATTTGCGATAAATTTCGCATTATATTGAAACCAGATATTAGTTAAATTTCAAACATTACCATTTTTTTTAAAAAAAGCATATAATATAAGTAAATAGCAAAAAAATAATATAAATAAGTAAAACGATATATCATCAGATTCCGTCATTGTTTTACTGAAATTATTCAAAGCAATCTTCATAAATCAAAACAATACATATATTGATACAGATCTGCAGATTTAACAATTAAAAAAGTTACCATCTCAATCGAAACCCACAAAACTAAGAAAGAAGTTTACTGAATGACTAAGAATTAAGATTGAAAATTAAATAAAAAAGAAGTTTACTGAATGACGAAGAATTAAGATTGAAAACTAAAGTTACCCAGTTTTGCTATGGAGCCATCCACACTTATTCACCAATAGTGTATTGACACGTGTCCTGCAATAAATACACTTTGGACAAGTGTCAATACATTAAGTGGTGGATGGCTCCATAAGAAAACCATCCGATGACTCCATATAATTTTTGTAAAAGTTACCATCCCAATAGAAACTAGGGCTGAGCATGGGACTCGGAGAATTCTGAACCGTTCCGAAAACCGAACCGAAATCACTCCGAACTGAAAAATATCAGTTGACCGTTTGACTTTTTCGGAACCAAAAAAATAATTGGTATGGTTCTGGAGATTTCATAAATATCCGTACCGAGAACCGAATCGAACTATCACGTACCGTACCGAACCGAAGAACCGAATTATAAAAATAGATGTGTGTTATTAATATATTTTATGTCAACTTTGATCTTATATAATTTGAGATTTTTTAAAATGCAAATAAAATATAGTAATAACAAATAAGATTCACTTACATTTCATGTTTAGTAATACTTGATCTACAGTTGAATTTCTCTTGTTTAAAAAAAAAGTTAAAATGGCATGAAAGGTTAAAGATTTAAAATATATATATATATATATATATATATATATATATATATATATTTAAGTTTTACTTAAAGTTGTCGATACTTGACCTTAGTTTATCTTATAACTAAAATGTTGGAAGGTTAAATAAATTACTTTAATATAAAACTATATTATGTTTTGTTTGAATTTTAAATTTTCAACGTTAGTTGAATTTAGTCTTAACTAAAATTTAGGGTTACTTCTGAAGTTGATTTAAAAATAAAATCTTTAGTATGATGAAGTATTGATGAATGTTAGATTTAAAAAAAAATATATATAAAAAATAAAATATAATTAGGTGGTCATTCAAAAAAGTTTAAGAAATGATAAAAAATCTCTGAATATCCGAACCGAACCAAACCGAACTGAACCGTTCCGATAGTCCCGAAAATCAAACCGAACCGAACTGAAAAATAAAAATCTCCAAACTGGACCGACTCGATTTTTTGGTACGGTTCTGGAGATCGAATTTTAGTGATCTCCGAACCGTACCGACCCATGCTCACCCCTAATAGAAACCTATCGATTTCTTGAGAAACCTACTTTATTTGGAAAAAAAATCATTATATTTATTAGTGTAAATGATATATACAGTAAATGGTGATTTACTAATCGAAATTTTGGATTAGAATCATTTTCTTCAAATGATTTGAATTTCAAACGAAAATATGTAAAATGCGGAATTATTTAAATATTTAAAAAAATTCAAATATAGTAAAATTAAAATTTGTAGGCGGGATTTTTCTTATTATTTAAGGTAAATATTACTTAACGTTTTTATATATTAATCGATATTACTTAACGTTTTTATATATTAATCGATATACTAAATAAAAATACATTAAAAAAAATTATGTACCTCTTTACTCTGAAATAGAAAATAAGAATGTATGAAGGAGCTCAATGTTATATATACATCGAATTCGTAAATATTTTATGGAAAATCTATTTTACTTTCTTCCATAGTAAGATTGCATTCATAATTTTCCTACTGATTTGGTAATCACAAGGTATCCGAATAAGTAATGATGCTTATTATATTTGAAGATATTTATGCTTTTAATTGTAGTGTTATACTAGTAATCAACCTATGCATTTGCACAGATACAAATTCATAGAAAAGAAAATAAGAAAATAAGAAAAAAAAAATAATAAATCATAATTTAATTCAAGAAAAAATGTTAATTAAGAAAAGAATTCTGAATATTATTAAAAAATATTTTATATACAACATTTATATATTATATACCATATTTTAATATAACACCATAGAAAATTTGACATTTATTGATTAGGTAATGCTTTTTAGTTAAATGACATTAGTAACATAATATTGCACCATAATATTTGGATTGAGAATAAGAAAAAATATATAAAATTCGAATATGGCAACATGGTAATGAGATATATTGGTGTTTGAAATATAATTCATTATTAATGATTTATACAATTAGATATATTGTTTTTTCTTGTAGGTGGATATATATATATATATATATATATTGAAATAGATGACTGGATATTTTTAGTTTTATTTCTTAATTATTTGATTTTGTAATTTTGGAATCTGAATTATTGTGTGAATCATTTTTACATACTCAAGCATAAAAAAATTTGAATATATATATATAATACATATATAAATAATTATTTTGTTACATTCATTCAACAAATAAATAAAGTGAAAAGGAAATAGGCATGAATCCTGTCAGATCATATCGAAGAATGGCATGGGTAATGTTGATTGTACGGTCCAACTGGCGTTCGGTCGGTCAATTTCGAACACGACCGTGTTCGTACCCGATTTAGGCTGTACGGACAGGTCCTTGTACGAACCGGCCGGCCGGACGACCCGATGTTGTCCGCCGGCGACAGCCAGTCGTGACCGGTCCGACCGGCCGGACGCCTATTTTTTTTTTCGAAAATAATATTATTTTAAATTGTTATATTATATATTTGAAATAATTATGTTATACATTGGACGTTAGATATTATCATGTTAGGAGTTATAAATTATTATGTTATATATTAGAATTATTATGTTATATATTAGACTTGATTATGTTATAAATTGGACGGTAGAGATTATCGTGTTAGGAGTTAGAAATGATTATGTTATAGATTTGAAATAATTATCTAATAAATTGGACGTTAGACATTATCGTGTTAGGAGTTAGAAATAATTATATTATCTTGGAAAGTTCAAACAGCCTATCCTCGGGGGATTCGAGAAGACATGATTCTCGCCATTTTTTCCCTTCTTGAGGGCATTCAAGTACCTTTGCTTCAACCTATTGACCTTTCTCCTCAGCTGCTCCTTCGAGGACTCGAACTTCAGATTCCTCTTAATGTAATCGTAAAAGGCAGCCATATCAGCGCTCGGGCCGCCCCTGAAGGCGATTAGCCCTTTCAGCAGGGTTACCTCTTCCTCGTCGCTTCACAGCTTGGTAATGCATCCGCCGGGGGATTTTGCCGCCTCAATGGTTTTCTCCTTCTTGCCGTCAGTCGTCAGGAGTTCATCGTGGCGGGCGCGTTATGATGTGAGTTTGGGGGTTTTGAGGATAGGCGGCAGCCTGTTGTCGCCCCGATCCGAATTAGAAACCGACCCGATATCCTGGACGGCGCCTCTGGATTTCGCCACCACTTTCATCATCGAAGGAGGCTGAATCCGATTGCAGTTCTTCACTTTCTTCTTGTGGGAAGAGGGTTCTCTAGAGGCCATTCTCCTTTCTGTTTTTCTAGCAAGTAGTGAGTGAAGCGAGGAGTTAAGTCAAAGTAAGGGTCTTTCACACCGGGTTTTTATATAGGAACTAGTACGAATCCGGTATGAGATATTAATTAATATTCATAAATTAAAAATTCTTATAAAATGATATTTATAAATTAAAAACATGGAATCAATGTGTAATACTACAATGTACCTATATTAATTTATTAAAAATATTATATAAAATTTAAATTGTGTAAAATTACGTAAAATGTCTATTTAAAATTAGTACACAACTAGCGCGTTGCATATATATGATAATAAATTACATTATATTCGTTTTAAAATATGTGTCATTTTCAAAAGCTTTACTAAGAATTTCGATTTGACTATAACGTGATTCCATACAATAATTATTTTGGCAAAATTTTATCATTTCTTTAAAAACCTATGTGAATAATAAAATTTAAATTGTGCAAAATTACGTAAAATGCCTATTTAAATTAGTACGCAACTCGCGCGTTGCACATAACTAATAATAATCACATTATATTCATTTCAGAATATGTGTCATTTCAAAAATTTTATTAGTAATTTCGATTTGACTATAACGTGATTCCATAAAATAATTATTTTGATTAAATTTTATCATATATTTAAAAACCTATGTGAATAATAAATATAAATTTTATCTCTGGGATCCTGTTCAATACATAAAGGTACTAGTGCAATTAATCAGTCAAGACCAACTGTAGTGTTGACACTACAACCGTTCTGATGGGGTGTTCATTTCCATCTAGGTTGTGAACCATTAGTTCTTGTTTCGCAAGTAATTGATAGAATGATTTTCTGTTCACCCGATGACCCATTCTATCTAAGTGCAAAACAACAGAACATAGAACTTGTTTAATCGAACATGATTCTCATTCATAAAGGGCAAATGTGTAATATCATCCAAAGTCAAGCTTTTTGTATATAACACTAACACCAATCACCAGGGGTCTTTGCTGCAAATCACCTGAGATAGTCATCGTTAATCCTTCCTAGATAATCACATTGACAATCTCCCTACAAGTGTCAATCTCCTTGTCAGAAGCCTGCCAAAAGCTGTTTCCACCGCCCAAAAACATAACGCACGGCCCAATGTGGAACGTCTCACTGCCTACAGGTTAGATTATTAGGACAGGTGTGCCGCTACATGTTGCGTTGCATGTAACAAATCCATCCGGAGATTGCCACGTGTCCAATCAACCTTTGTTCTTTTCGCTATAAAAAGCCATGCTATTTATCACCCAAAACCATCTGAGAAAACACCCGCTAGATACATACATGTACAAAACGTAAAATAGTACAACACTATACTACTCAATTTCCCCCCAGAGAAAATAATAATTCTCCTCACTGGTGCCTCAATAGACCGGTGAAGTTTACGTGTCTTTATTTTTCGCATTTACGCTTTTAATTTGTTTTAAATTCACTTGATGCCCATGTTATTCCATAGTTAGCATATTACAGCTTCATAATTGTGTTAGCAAAATTGACCATAAAAAAAAATAAACAAATTTATAGCAAATCACATGCATTAGCATATATTTGCGATAAATTTCGCATTATATTGAAACCAGATATTATTATTATTTTTTTTTTCCGAAACGATAGAGGTTTAATAAATAAATGCACAAATGTGCAAAGTTACAGGCACTAGCTGAATAATACAACCGACGACTGAGAAAACTGGGAGGACAGGTCCGAAAACCGACTAAATCCGAAAACTAGCAATGCTAGAATACTCGACAACACACTAGAAAACAAACACACTAAAAAAACTAAAAGTTCCCAAGAGAAGAATGAGAGAAAACGGCCCCAACAGAGTAATGCTCACTCACTACTCGGGCAACACAGGGGCCAACGGCCAAACCAAAAACACAATACATAACTACAAAACACATGACTAACACAGATAAACTGAAACACCAAAATAAAATAAAACTAACAACAACTAAAAGAACTAAGCCCTCCCTCGGCAGAACATCCGAAATGAGCAGCAAACAAAAGCCGATTCCATAGAGAGAACTGAAGCACAGGACCCACGCCCGCCACTGCCTATTGCCTAGCAAAGACGAGGAACCGCGTCCCGAAACAATCAACACAAATCGACCCGCTCTCCAGCCGTAAGAAGCCACAATCGCCCTCCAACCGGCTAACACCACTAGCCCAGTCCGACACCGTCCCGAGGTTGGCTAACACCGCTAGCCAAAACTCGAAACGGCCGGCCTCCCTCAGACTCCAAAATAGAGAACGAGGTAGGAAGAGAAACGAATGGCTTCCAAGCCCAACCGGACCCACGTAACCCTGATGAACAACCCGCTCTCCACCCAGCCCCAAACACCCTGCCCTTCACCCCAGCAGCGACGAGAAGCCGGCGACCGGAGGTCGCGAGATAATCTCGCCGGAAGTAAGAGATCGGAAGTAGAGAAAACCTCAGAGCCTGGTGAGATGAGTCGCCACGACCCGGTGAGAACGCAGGCGGTCCGAGCCACCACCATCTCCCGGCGCAGTACTCCACCATTCCCCACCAGAAAACGACAAAGGAAGAAGAGCCCCGCTACCAGACCATGGTTGTGCAGTGAAGAGCCGTTCACCGACAGCCCGGACGGCAGCCGAAGGAGACACAAACCGGCGGATTTAGGAAACTAGGTTTTTGGCGATTTGGGAATTTGGGCGTTAGAGAGAGAAATTTTTAGTGTTCGGTTGTTGGAACCAGATATTAGTTAATTTCAAACATTACCATTTTTTTTAAAAGTATATAATATAAGTAAATAGCAATAAAATAATATAAATAAGTAAAACGATATATCATCAGGTTCCGTCATTGTTTTACTGAAATTATTCAAAGCAATCATCATAAATCAAAACATTACATATATTGATACAAATCTGCAGATTTAACAAATAAAAAAGTTACCATCTCAATTGAAACCCACAAAACTAAAAAAAAAGTTTACTGAATGACTAAGAATTAAGATTGAAAATTAAATAAAAAAGAAGTTTACTGAATGACTAAGAATTAAGATTGAAAACTAAAGTTACCCAGTTTTGCTATGGAGCCATCGGATGGCTCGGCTTATGGAGCCATCCACACTTATTCACCAATAGTGCATTGACACGTGTCCTGCAATAATACACTTTGGACAAGTGTCAATACATTAAGTGGTGGATGGCTCCATAAGAAAATCATCCGATGGCTCCATATAATTTTTGTAAAAGTTACCATCTCAATAGAAACTAGGGTTGAGCATGGGACTCGGAGAATTCTGAACCGTTCTGAAAACCGAACCGAAATCACTCCGAACTGAAAAATATCTGTTGACCGTTTGACTTTTTCCGAACCGAAAAAATAATTGGTACGATTCTGGAGATTTCATAAATATCCGTACCGAGAACCAAATCGAACTGTCCCGTACCGTACCGAACCGAAGAACCGAAATTTAGCTGAATTGTAAAATGGATGTGTGTTATTAATGTATTTTATGTCAACTTTGATCTTATAAAATTTGAGAATTTTTAAAATGCAAATAAAATATAGTAATAACAATTAAGATTCACTTACATTTTGATATAGCCATATAAGGCTTCCTACTAGACCGGTGAGCCATTTGAACGACTTTGCATATCAAGGTGACTCGTCGACATGATCAAGTCGACTTCTCTGAAGTCGACTCTTCCAAAAACAGTCAACAAGAGGCAGAAAGCGGCCTAGTCGACTTCATTAAGTCGACTTCCCACAATCGACTTTTGCTAGTCGACCTCATAACTAGAAGGACATCAAGGTTGCAATCCAATCATCCAGATACTCTAAGTCGACTTCTACTAGTCGACTTCCACATGACGACTCTCTTAGAGACGACCACCGCAGGGAGTTAAACCAGGTGTAGCCTCCGAAACCGCATATATTCTTAAGTCGACCTCCTAGTGCTCGAGGTCGACTCTGGGCATCTCGAGGATCAAAGTGGTGAAGACGATTCACCACACTTGCAACATATCCAAAGCTCCACATACTATCAAAGATAAGAAGGAATCTTACGATGACTCAGCAACAAAGGGGAGACGAATCGACAGGGGTATTTTGGACCTTCTAGGTCCACCGACTTGGGCATTTTGGACACTTCACGTAAGTATTCGCTCCTATATAAAGGAGATGAGGTAACCCTAAACCCTAACTCTCATTCATTCCCACTCTCCCCCATAGCTGCTGCGCAGCCCCTCTTCATCACTCTCATACTGACTTGAGCGTCGGAGGCTCTACGCCGGAAACACCTCCGGCGTTGAGTTTTTGCAGGTATTCTTGCGGTCTAGCAACGGTTTAAAGACGGTTCAAGCAGATCTGAGCTCACAACCACCGGTTTACTCCAGATCCAGAAGTAGACCCATCATTTGGCGCCGTCTGTGGGGAGTTCTTAAAGGAAGGAAGAGCTTCACACCCAGCTCCGATCTGTTTGCCAATGGCGGAGAAGGAGAGCTTGCAGAGGAACCTGAGCGAGGAATTCAGAGGGACGTGGATGGACAAGAGGCCACCACCACTTCCCACCACCAAACACCCCGTAGTTCAGATGACGGGAATGCCACCAGTCGGAGGACCACCACCACCAGGGCTGACATTGGGCGGAGAAACGCCTGTAACTCCAACCGGCGTGAAGATACAAGTGTTGACTCAGGCAGGAACAAGTCAAAACCCTAATCCGGGAGGGGAGAAGGGACCAACGGAGATATCTCGACGTGAGGGAAAACAGATACAGGAGGTACCGGAGCAAGCCCAACATCATGTCGAGGAGCAAACCTTGACGATGACGAGAAGCGAAATGCAGAAGATGATCGCTGAGGCGGTAGCAGCTCAGATGAAGCAGATGGCGCAGGTCGAGCAGCAGCCTCGAGTCGAGCAGCAGCCCTGCGTTGATTATCAGCCTCGAATTGAACAACAGCCCCGCGTCGAGCAACAAGCCCAGTCGAACGTGCAA